CCCCACCTCCGTCCTGGCACGCGGGCTTCGGGCTGGCCCACGACGGGCGGGGAGGGGGCTGCGTTAGGGGATGGGGTCAGTCCTGGGACCAAACCAAGGCCCTGTGGGGTGAAGGAGACTGGGGTGGGTGAGGGTGCGAGGAGAGGTGGAGTGGCAATTGGTCTCCCATCGGCTGGAATGTTCTCCCCCTCTCCTCCCTTTCTCGCTGTGCAGTGGGAGGCGGTGGGGTTGCACAGCTCCTGGATTCCAGCTCCTGAGCCCTTCCCCAGCCCCCTTGGCCTCTCTGGGACCTGGAGGGCTCCCTAGCCATCCCAGGCTCTGCACCTTGCCTTGTCTCATGTCCCAAATCCCAGCCTGTCCTGCAGGCATTTGGAAGCCATAAAAGGATCCTCCCTTCTGCAGGGATCCCCGCAACCCTGGATCAGGGCCAGACTGGGATCCCTTTTCACACCAGTACAGACTGGGGGCTTCCTCTCCCTTTGAAGGGGCTTTGAGAAAAGGCCTTGGCAGAGGGGACCCCTCTCCTGGGGCTGGGCTGTGTCTGCTCTCCAACCAACCTGCTGCGGCCCAATCCCGGCATCATTTTGGAGGTGCTGCTGGGAGGGCAGGAGGGGGGGTCCTGGAGGCCTGAGCTGCTCCTGGCACAGGACCAGACACCCCTGCAGCCGGGGCAGGGCAGCTCCAATCCCGCCTCTCCTCCCTGCGAGGCTTCCCAAGGCTGTCCGGGGCCGTGCCACAGTGGAGAGTGGTTGTTGGGGACCGTGATCTCCCCACGCCAAACTCCATCCTTCTGCCACGAAACCACCAGGCCCCGTCCTCTCCAGAGCCAGCCCCCTTGGTCCCTGCTAAAAGAGGGTGAGATGGGTTGGAGGGGCTGGCTCTGGATGGGGGTGAGAGCAGAGAGTCTATTTAAAGGGTAAATCTTTACCCTCTCTCCTCCCCAACCTCAGTTTCCCTAATTGTTCCCTCTCATTCTGATGCTCTATTGTTTTTAATTAAGGGCTTGACTTCAATAGGCCTTAAACGGTGATTCCTGGGGGTCCCTGGCTGGCAAATAGGGAGTGCTTCCCACTTCCCCCCCTCCTTTCCCCCAAAAGTGACCTTATTAAGCAGTTTGATTTGTCCATTTCCACTTGTTATTACTGCTAATGATCTCAGGGAGGGGGAGCCCCGGAGCTTTTCTTCCCAGCAGCCTGCAAAGAACCCTCCGCTCCCCCGGCAAGGTCTCCCTGCTCTTCCCCCCTTGGGTTTCCCTCCTTATCCCTAACACCAGTCTTTTTCTCTCTCCCTCCCCGTCTCTCCGTCTCCAGGTGTGGTTTAAAAACCGTCGGGCCAAGTGCCGGCAGCATTTTTTTGCAGCAGCAGAACGGGGGCCAGAACAAGGTACGGCCAGCTAAAAAGAAGAATTCACCAGCCCGGGAAGTGAGTTCGGAGAGCGGGACCAGCGGGCAGTTCACTCCCCCCTCCAGCACCTCTGTCCCCACCATTTCCAGCAGCAGTGCCCCCGTATCCATCTGGAGCCCAGCGTCCATCTCCCCGCTCTCAGACCCCCTGTCCACCTCATCCTCCTGCATGCAGAGATCTTATCCCATGACCTACACCCAGGCCTCGGGCTACAGCCAAGGATACGCTGGCTCGACCTCCTATTTCGGAGGGATGGACTGTGGATCTTACTTGACCCCTATGCACCACCAGCTTCCCGGACCGGGGGCCACCCTGAGTCCCATGGGTGCTAACGCGGTCACCAGCCACCTCAACCAGTCTCCAGCCTCCCTCTCCACCCAGGGCTATGGAGCCTCCAGTTTGGGCTTTAACTCCACCACCGATTGCTTGGATTATAAAGACCAAACGGCCTCCTGGAAGTTAAACTTCAATGCTGACTGCTTGGATTATAAGGACCAGACATCGTCATGGAAGTTCCAGGTTTTGTGAAGAACCGTTGTTGATAACGAGAGAAATCGCGACGAGAACGAACAGGCTGGGCCGAACGCTCCAGTTTTAGTCAGGTCTTGGTTAAATTAAAGAGAAAAATAACTCCACGGACAAACAAACGAACAAAAAAACCGACAGCGACGGGAGGGGGGACAGTGTTGGTGTGATCCCGGTCAGACTCATCTCCTGCTCAGACGCTCTGGAAAAGGAATAATAAAGAGGAAAAACGGAGGAGGAAGGCCTTAAACGGACAGATCATCTAGTGAGCAGAAAACAGACAGACCCATCCGTGTTCTTTCTAGTTTTAGGCAATTGTTGGGTTTCTTTGTTTGGAAGAGGTGGGAGATGGTCCCGCCTTCGGGCCAGTTTAAAAAAAAAAAAAAAAAGGAAAAAAGGAAAAAAAAAGAAAAAATGAAAAAAAAAGAAAAAAGTCTAGGTTTTTATTTCTTTTTTCGTGTGTGCGTGGAAAGATCCTTCACCCAGAGGTTTCCAATGTGTTAGCCAACCCTCGGTTAAAATATTCGGAATGAACAGCATCTCTCTCTTTCTCCCTCTTTTTCTCCCTCCCTCTTTCTTTCTCTCTCTCGCTCTCGAGCTCATCCAACTGTTTCACGCCCAACTTGAGCAAGTTGGCACCCGGAGAACTTGGTTCAGGGCTGTGTGGGTTGTGTGACTGATTGTCCTAGCTGCACTACTTTATTTAAAGATTAAAAAAAAAAAAATAATGTTCATAAGGAGTCAATATGTAGTTTTTAAGAGACAATCAGTGTGTGTCTTATATAAATGGTACATCTGTGGTTTTTAATCTGTGCTAGACTTCAAAACTGTGATCTCCTGTATTGTATGCAACTATGAACTCTGCACCAGCGGGAGTTCTGCTGTGATTTAAATAGGTTATAATCATAAGTGAAATTCAGAGCAACTGAGTTACCTATTATCATCTTTTAAAAAAGAATAATAATGAAAAATATATTAAAAAAATAAAAACACAAAAAAACACGATCGCCTTTCACCCGAGGTGAGCTGCACTGAAACTTTTTACAGCAAACTGTCTCTGAATGAAAGAGAAAAGACCGAAAAAAACCCCACCCGAGGACATTAAACTCCTCTGGAGCTCACTTACTGCTGGCCGCGCTGGCAGTAACCGTCAAATCCAACAGGACTTTGGGCAGTTGCTCTGACCTGGATGAATTTAAACCGAGAAATTCATTGTCGTTTATGCTTGCAGATGTTAACTGAAAAAAAAAAAAAAAGAGATATATGCATAAACCTTTTTTTTCCTGGATTTGGCAGATATGTATAATTATATTAAAATGGTTCTAGCACACTTGATGGTTGTCTTCCATTTTAATCGTATCCGGCGGGTGACGGAGAGGGGCGATGCCGTCTGCCGCAGGGATTTCTTGGTTGCAGCCAGGCGTGTGGGACCGGGAGGGTCCGGCTGCTTCCGCAGGGCCGAGACAAAGGGGGTTTTGCCGGAGGCTCCCCGAGGTGAAGGAAGCAAAATGAAGGGGACGTTATTTTATATTATTTAAATTATTTTTAAGCAAAAAACATTCATTACAAAGAGACCGTGGATAATGTGAGCTTCCCTCCTAGCTTTCCCAAATCTTATTGTGGGGAGGGATGCGTTGGCTCTGGGACCTCCTGGGAGATGCAAGTCCCCAGTTGCGTTTGGGAAGAGCCCTAAACTTTCCAGGCTGATCCAGGGAGGAGAAGTGGGAACCTGGGAGTTCTCAGGCAGGAACATCTGAACAGAGGTGCTGGGGAAGGAGAGGGGGGACAAGTTTTTAAGCTCCAGTTCCATGAAATGCATTCACAGCACCTTGTGATGCAGGATCAGGCCCTTCCCAAGCATCCCTGTTCTTGGTGGCTCTTTCTCTGTCCTTCTCCGTCTTTCTCCCTCTCTCCTTCCTGTGGGCATCACTGGGGTTGCTTGAGCCTTGAACTCCATTTGGATTTACTGCAGCAAAAGAAATGAACCTCCGGAAAGAGAGAGGCTGAAAAAAGCACCCGCCACCGTCCTGCTCCCTGTCACCGGCTGTCCTAAGCAGCTTGTCACCAGCACCCTCCTGCCTGCGGGTCACCCGGGGCCACGGGTGGGTGGCCATTGTCACCCCACCACAATCTCAAGGACCAGGGAGCACGAAGGCCATGGCCGTGCCTCCCCGATCACCCCTTGGCTTCGCATCCCTGCATCCCAAACTGGCTGTTTCCCACCACGGGCTCTGGAAAACCCTCTCCTTCCCACGGTGGCATTTATGTCCCAGCCACCGTGAGTGAGGATCAGCCTTTAAAATAAACACCATCCGGTGGCACTGGTCGGCTCCCATCGCAGGCGAAGCTTTTACGCTGCTTCGTGTTAGCGCTCGTCAGTCGGAAAAGAGCCCGTTTATTCCCCGTTTATTCCCCGTTTTAACGGGAGGGTTCTCCTTTTGTGCAGAGGAGGTTGGGGGAGCGCAGGGCTGCTGGGGGTGGCTCAGCCGGGTCCCCATCACTGGGTCCTCCCAGGCAGCAGCGCAGAAAGTTTCATTTCTCTGCTGATTTGGTTCTAACAAACAAAGTTTACCTCCCCAAAAATTTATTCAAACAAAATACGCTCAAAAAAAGCATGTTGCTGTTGAAACGGGGTGCAGCATCCCACCTGCCTGGAAAAGCTCTTTGTTTCCTGGGCTTTTATTTATATATATTTTTTAAAGTCTTTTTAAAACCTCTTTTCACATTTTGCTTTTCCCATCTTATCTTCTACTTTCCTGAGTATTTCCTCGTCTGTTAGGGATGAGCTCCTCCAGCCAGTGCTCCTTTTTATCAGAAAAAGCCAATTCATGGCAGGAATCTCTCCGAATTTCCCTTAGCTTTTTTCACTTTCCACATTCTCTCTACCCGTTTGTTTCTGATTTTAATTTAAATGGGCATTCGCGTGGGCAAAGGGCAAAATCCCAAGGTGAGCTGGCAAACACAAAGTATTATATAAAGGGCGCTTTAACTCCTTTTTCATTTTTAATGTTGTAGATCTCCCTTCCGGCTGAATTAGTTTCCTCTGAACTCAGGCAGTGGGAGGCAATCCTGGATCCAATAAAATCAGGCAAAAAGCTGGGGGGACCACGTCGTTTTAGTGTTGGAAAGCCTGATTTAGGGGCAGAGAGCTGATTTAGACGGGTGTGTGAATTAAGGTGTCCCCCCCAGCCCCTCAAAAACACACATCTAAGTGAATCCTCTCCCTGCTCTGCAGGGCAACATTTCCCACCACAGGAAAAAAATAAACCCAAAAACTCAAAATTGAAAAAAGCAGAAAACCAGGAGGGAAGTTTTGTCTCCAGCCAGTCGAGCTGCCCCAAACGCTGGCTCCATCTCTTCTGCCTGCTCCTTGTCTGATCCCCTCCTGCTCCTGGCCTGCTTCCTTGTCTGATTCCCTGCCCGCTTCCTGCCATCACCAGCCCACACTGCCCAGTCTCTCCCCAGTAACCAGCCATCGCCTGGGGCAGCTCCGCTCCCACCCCAGGGAGCCCCAAAACAGGGACAAGTTTTGGGGTGATTGAATTTCCAGGAGGAGCCCAGGGCTGGGGAGTGCTGCCAGTTTCCAAGGAGACGGGGAGAGTTACTGAAAAAACAGCAGGATTTAGGGCTTCACAGCAGAACTTCCCCACCTGGTGCTGGGGGGTGGAGCACAGGGATCCCCAAAACTCCCACTTACAGCCCTGGCACTGCCCATAACTGGGGACTGGGGGAGTGGTGAGGATAAGGCTGGAGGTTTGGGTAGGGGTTGGGTTTGGGAGGGTTGAGTTTGGGTCTGGGAAGGTTAGAAAAAGGTTTGGAACTGCTGGGCACGGATATGAGTTTGGGCTTGGGAGGGCTGGGTATGGGTTGGGCTTGGTTTGGGTCTCGGACCTCATCCAGTTTAGGGGACTGAATGGGGGTACACTAAGAAAAGACCCCCACCCTCTGTCCCCAGTTTCCCAAGGAGCAGGGGAGGACACGTCTCCCAGCCCCTGAGGCCATGCAGGGCTGGGGGTGCTGAGCAAGCAAAGCCCAGAAGGCAGCTCCCCCTGCTCCTAGGGGTCTGTGGCTTCCCTCAGCCCCAGCCTGTGCTGAGGGGGGTTGGGGGCACCTCTGCTCCCCCCTCCCAGCCCTTCAGGGACCAAGGGGGGTACACAGGGCTCAGAGCCCCACCCGTGCAGCCACCACCCCGTACACCTCCACCCCACGTACACCCGCACAGAGCAGTGTCCGTGGACGCGTCCGGCAGGGATGCTGGTACCAAGGCGTGGGCTCAAGCGGAGAGAGCACACCAGTGCCCACACCGGTGCACGTCGGTGCGTGCTCGCAGCGTAGGTGCACATCGGTGCCTGTCTCTAAATGCACGTGGCACCGACCCTTACGGCGTCAAATGCCCATCGCACGAACGCGTGCACGGGTGCGTACATGTACGTGTGCACACATCAG